GGACAGATGGGAGGAGCTACAGGGAAGGGACAGATGGGAGGAGCTACAGGGAAGGGACAGATGGGAGGAGCTACAGGGAAGGGACAGATGGGAGGAGCTACAGGGAAGGGACAGATGGGAGGAGCTACAGGGAAGGGACAGATGAGGAGAGAGGACAGATGGGAGGAGCTACAGGGAAAGGACAGATGGGAGGAGCTATGAGGAAAGGATAAATAAGGGGAGAGGACAGATGGGAGGGGTTATAGGGAAAAGATAAATGGGAGGACCTATGAGGAAAGGACAAATAAGGGGAGAGGACAGGTGGGAGGGGTTATAGGGAAAAGACAAATGGGAGGAGCTATAGGGAAAGGACAAATGGGAGGAGCTATGAGGAGAGGACAAATAAGGGGAGAGGACAGGTGGGAGGGGTTATAGGGAAAAGACAAATGGGAGGAGCTACAGGGAAGGGACACATGAGGTGGGAGGACAGATGGGAGGAGTTATAGGGAAGGGACAAATGGGAGGAGCTATGAGGAAAGGACAAATAAGGGGAGAGGACAGATGGGAGGGGTTATAGGGAAAGGACAAATGGGAGGAGCTATGAGGAAAGGACAAATAAGGGGAGAGGACAGGTGGGAGGGGTTATAGGGAAAAGACAAATGGGAGGAGCTACAGGGAAGGGACACATGAGGTGGGAGGACAGATGGGAGGAGTTATAGGGAAGGGACAAATGGGAGGAGCTATGAGGAAAGGACAAATAAGGGGAGAGGACAGATGGGAGGGGTTATAGGGAAAGGACAAATGGGAGGAGCTATGAGGAAAGGACAAATAAGGGGAGATGACAGATGGGAGGAGCTATAGGGAAGGGACACAGTAGAGCGGACAGATGGGAGGCGTTAAAGGGAAAGGACAAATGGGAGGAGCTATGAGGAAAGGACAAATGAGGGATGAGGACAGATGAGAGGGGTTATAGGGAAAGGACAAATGAGGGGATAGATGGGAGGAGCTATGAGGAAAGGACAAATGAGAGATCAGATGGGAGGGGTTATAGGGAAAGGACAAATGGGAGGAGCTATAGGGAAAAGGACAAACGGGAGGAGCTATGAAGAAATTACAAATAAGGGGAGAGGACAGATGGGAGGGGTTATAGTGAAGGGACACCAGAGGACAGATGGGCGGGGTTATAGGGGAGGACACCAGAGGACAGATGGGCGGGGTTATAGGGGAGGACACCAGAGGACAGATGGGAGGGGTTATAGTGAAGGGACACATGAGGAGAGAGGACAGATTGGCGGAGTTATAGGGAAGGGACACATGAGGACAGATGGGAGGAGTTATAGGGGGAGGGACACATGAGGACAGATAGGAGGAGTTATAGGGGAGGGACACCAGAGGACAGATGGGCGGAGTTATAGGGAAGGGACACCTGATGACAGATGGGAGGAGTTATAGGGGAGGGACACCTGAGGACAGATGGGCGGGGTTATAGGGGAGGGAAGAGGGGAGATGTTTCCTGGGGGAACCCTTATTGGGGAGCACAGAGGGGAGACGTTTCCTGAGGGAACCCTTGTTGGGGAGCACAGAGGTGATATGTCCCCCTGTGATGCGTCCCCCTGTGATGCGTCCCCCTGTGATGGGTCCCCCTGTGATGCGTCCCCCTGTGATGCATATTATAGATTCGCATACCCTAGGATAAAATGAGCTCATACATGATTGGTGGGTGAGCTGATGGTCCAATCAGTGAATAGTGACCTCATGGCCGGTGTCAGGGGTAGATAAGGCTGATCATGGCGCCGGCGTGTTATCGGGAGGGGTGTGTTCCTGTCTATAACATACATGTGCGTGGTTATCACGGTGCACCTTGTGTCACATTTATTCCTCGTTCATAGAAGGAATGACATCTGTCACCTCATTGGATCCCCCCCGGAAACCTCCGCACCCTTCTTCCCAAGAAATGCCTGTGAAGAGCAAGCAGGAGAGCAGCACAAGCAACAAGTGTTTCATTCGGGTCTCCGGCATGACGTGCGCTTCCTGTGTCGCCAACATAGAGAGAAATCTTCGCAAGGAGGACGGTGAGTACTGAATACCACCGCCGGCGTCTTATCGGGAACTCTGCCGCAGCCGCGCGTCACCGGAAGGTTGTCCCGCCCGCAGATTACAAATATTTGTTTCATGATTCCACCCAGGAGATTGTAGAGCAGCTTTCCTGCACCTCCTAATGAGGACAGATGGGAGGAGCTACAGGGAAGGGACAGATGGGAGGAGCTACAGGGAAGGGACAGATGGGAGGAGCTACAGGGAAGGGACAGATGGGAGGAGCTACAGGGAAGGGACAGATGGGAGGAGCTACAGGGAAGGGACAGATGAGGAGAGAGGACAGATGGGAGGAGCTACAGGGAAAGGACAGATGGGAGGAGCTATGAGGAAAGGATAAATAAGGGGAGAGGACAGATGGGAGGGGTTATAGGGAAAAGATAAATGGGAGGACCTATGAGGAAAGGACAAATAAGGGGAGAGGACAGGTGGGAGGGGTTATAGGGAAAAGACAAATGGGAGGAGCTATAGGGAAAGGACAAATGGGAGGAGCTATGAGGAAAGGACAAATAAGGGGAGAGGACAGGTGGGAGGGGTTATAGGGAAAAGACAAATGGGAGGAGCTACAGGGAAGGGACACATGAGGTGGGAGGACAGATGGGAGGAGTTATAGGGAAGGGACAAATGGGAGGAGCTATGAGGAAAGGACAAATAAGGGGAGAGGACAGATGGGAGGGGTTATAGGGAAAGGACAAATGGGAGGAGCTATGAGGAAAGGACAAATAAGGGGAGATGACAGATGGGAGGAGCTATAGGGAAGGGACACAGTAGAGCGGACAGATGGGAGGCGTTAAAGGGAAAGGACAAATGGGAGGAGCTATGAGGAAAGGACAAATGAGGGATGAGGACAGATGAGAGGGGTTATAGGGAAAGGACAAATGAGGGGATAGATGGGAGGAGCTATGAGGAAAGGACAAATGAGAGATCAGATGGGAGGGGTTATAGGGAAAGGACAAATGGGAGGAGCTATAGGGAAAAGGACAAACGGGAGGAGCTATGAAGAAATTACAAATAAGGGGAGAGGACAGATGGGAGGGGTTATAGTGAAGGGACACCAGAGGACAGATGGGCGGGGTTATAGGGGAGGACACCAGAGGACAGATGGGCGGGGTTATAGGGGAGGACACCAGAGGACAGATGGGCGGGGTTATAGGGGAGGACACCAGAGGACAGATGGGAGGGGTTATAGTGAAGGGACACATGAGGAGAGAGGACAGATTGGCGGAGTTATAGGGAAGGGACACATGAGGACAGATGGGAGGAGTTATAGGGGGAGGGACACATGAGGACAGATAGGAGGAGTTATAGGGGAGGGACACCAGAGGACAGATGGGCGGAGTTATAGGGAAGGGACACCTGATGACAGATGGGAGGAGTTATAGGGGAGGGACACCAGAGGACAGATGGGAGGAGTTATAGGGGGAGGGACACCTGATGACAGATGGGAGGAGTTATAGGGGGAGGGACACCAGAGGACAGATGGGAGGAGTTATAGGGAAGGACACCAGAGGACAGATGGGCGGGGTTATAGGCGAGGGACACCAGAGGACAGATGGGAGGAGTTATAGGGAAGGGACACCAGAGGACAGATGGGCGGGGTTATAGGGAAGGGACACCTGAGGACAGATGGGCGGGGTTATAGGGAGGGACACCTGAGGACAGATGGGCGGGGTTATAGGGGAGGGACACCAGAGGACAGATGGGAGGAGTTATAGGGGAGGGACACCAGAGGACAGATGGGAGGAGTTATAGGGAAGGACACCAGAGGATGGACATGAGATGGATATAGTACATGAGGTCCGGCAGACTCTGGTTTTTGATCCTCTTCTGTACAATATTTGGTAGTCTTGTCCCTTAGTCCTGGTGAAGAAGGAGGTTGGAGCTCCTGAAACGCGTTGCCTGTATCCTGTCACCTCATGGCACTGTTGTCATCCGGGGCCCCCAGGGACACTTCGAATTTGACTTCCCCTTCCTGTGCCTCCAGGGCTGTAGCGACACGTCTCGTCTTTGTTTCAGGTATACATTCCGTCCTGGTGGCTCTGATGGCGGGGAAGGCCGAGGTCCGGTACAACCCGGTGCTCATACAGCCGGCGGCCATTGCTGAGCTCATTCAGGAGCTGGGATTCGAGGCCTCTGTGATTGAGAACTGTGATGAAGGAGATGGAGTGCTGGAACTGGTGGTAAGACTACAATACCCCTCCAATACACTCTACACCATGGATCCGGGGGAGGGGCACACTGTCACTTCCTGTCTCCCTCCCCGCTGTGTGGTCACACCGTCACTTCCTGTCTCCCTCCCTGCTGTGTGGTCACACCGTCACTTCCTGTCTCCCTCCCTGCTGTGTGGTCACACTCTCACTTCCTGTCTCCCTGCTGTGTGGTCACACTGTCGCTTCCTGTCTCCCTGCGGTGTCGTCACACTCTCACTTCCTGTCTCCCTTCTCCCTGACTGATGAATGAGGGCGGAGCTTATCTTCCAGTGACACCCCTCATGTGCCTTTACATTTGGTGAGAGTTCCTCATGGCTGAGGGTATCTGCGGTTCTCGGGTCATGTGACCCTGGCATGGAATTATAGTCGGCACGCCAAGACAAACAGGCGAGGCAGGAGGAAGTAGTAAGAGGAAGTCAGCATGGGGTTTGTACATGGACTGCCGAGGACAAAGTGTTCTGAGATTTGTAGGTTCTCCAAACAGAAGCTCCGATGGGTTAAAGGAGCACCCCC